CAATAAGCGTGGACAGACTTCTCGCCCTGTTGTTGGGACTGAGATACAGACAAGTTGTAACTTTGAAGCGGACCTACTTGATCACTATTACCTTTTACGTGTTGTCCACTGCCTTTTCAACAATGGAGAGCTTTTGGAATTCCCTTATAGGGTCATGGTATGCCATGATAGTTATCGTACTGTGTCTGGTAACCTCGGTCTTCTGTTACACGAGGATTTTCTTCACCCTCCGTCATCATCAACATCAACTGCAAGACCATGTTCAACAACCGAACCAAACAAATCAACTGAACATAGCGCGATACAAAAAGGCAGTGTCCAGTGCACTGTGGCTGCAGTTCATGTTAGTCGTCTGCTATCTACCATTATTTTTGGTAACTGTGGTTCTTCATTTGAGGCCATCTTCATCTGTTTCTCTCATCTGGAGTTATACATTAACTTTAGTTTCCTTAAACTCGTCATTAAACCCGATTCTTTACTGTTGGAAGATCGACGGAGTGAGACAAACAGTGAAGGACACAATCAGACAAGTACTTTGCTGTTGATCGAATGAGCTATTGTTTCTTGTTTTATTTTTGCCATTTATAAATATAAAAAAACACATCAATGTATTTTATAGGCATGCAAGGAAGCCCGGAGAAGCCAATAAGGCTTATGTAAAGGATTACCTTGAGTAATTAAGTCTTAAAAAGAGAACAAAAATGCTGCCATCGGCACGCAAAATAATCAAGAAAAGCACACTCAAGCACACTAAGAGAAGTAAAATTTACTAATACCAAGAAAGGTGACGAACGTTTAGAGGTGAATACAGCAAAAATAAGAGGCATTTTGAATTTCAGTGCTGAGAGAATTAAATAATTTTAGGCCTCACGGAACGGTATCCTCCCNGTCATTAAACCCGATTCTTTACTGTTGGAAGATCGACGAAGTGAGACAAACAGTGAAGGACACAATCAGACAAGTACTTTGCTGTTGATCGAGTAAGCTATTGTTTCTTGTTTTATTTTTACCATTTATAAACATAAAAAAAACACATCACTGTATTTTATAGGTATGTAAGGAAGCCCGGAGAAGCCAATAAGGCTTATGCAAAGGATTACATTGAGTAATTAAGTCTTTACGAGAGAATAAAAATGCTGTCATCGGCACGCACTAAATGACCATCTTTTAGGATGAAAGGTTAAGAACTAAACGCGCGGATGTGCGAAAGCAAAGGATGGGGGACAAAAGCGAGACGGAGAAGCAGACACAAGCACACTAAGAGAAGTAAAATATACTAATACCAAGAAAAATGACGAACTTTTAGAGGTGAACACAGCAAAACTAAGAGGCATTTTGAATTTCAGTGCTGAGAGAATAAAATAATTTGGGGCCTCGAAAACGGAGAGCGAATGTTTTTACATTTTTCCTACAGTAGGGCAAACGGAAAGAATTCTTAGCTCTAGTATTGTATTTATGTTCGTCGCAGTTAAGTAAAAACATCTGAGTGAAACTTTCCGGAAGAAGGCGATTTTGTAAAGGTACTTAACTTTATCTATTTGAAGTTTAATAATGTTTTCAAATTTTAGGATTATTAACCCCCGGAGGTACAACCTAACTCATACTCCCACCGAGGTACAAGAGGGACAAGGGGGCAGGGGGTTGGTGGAATCCCCCTCTAGATTTTCGATCTGTTAGGCACAGCAAAATAAATTTACACTCATTAGATAGCCCTGAGCTTGCTCTACAAGATGATACCATTTTTGTTGGTTATGACGTCATTTGATCCGCTATCTTGTATTTCACTCTTTTCTTAAAAGTCAAGAAATAACAGAATTAATGCATAATCAAGCCAAATGCTTAGGAAATGCAAAACTTCGCACAAATTTTCCTTTCCCGACTTAATAAATAAACATAGCTTTCTTTTTTTGTCTTTCTTTGTCTCTCGACCGCGATTTTACTAATCGCGATCGCGACTTATAACTTTCGATCGCAACTAATAGCTCTCGATCGCGACTTATAACTCGCGATCGCAACTTTGTAACTCTCGATCGCGAGTTATAACTGGCGATCGCGACTTATACCTCTCGATTGCAACTTATAACTCTCGATCCCCACTTATAACTCTCAATCGCAACTTATAGCTCTCGATCGCAACTTATAACTCGCGATCGCGACTCCTAACTCCCCATCGCGACTTATAACTCGCAATCGCGACTT